AACTTCTTCTCACTGCTCGAGCAAGTATGGCCCAGACATGCTCAATAGCGGTTCATATCGGGTGACTGACTTGGCCATAGGAGCCGTTGGATGACTTTCTTACTTAAATGACTATTAAATAAACATCATGGTGTCTATTTACTTTTGAGATGTCTCTGTATAAGACATGGAACCTTCCTCTTATGCAGTTCTCATTAACAGTCAAAACCCAAAGCTTTGCTACATTTTTAATCAATAGGTTTTATTAACAATCAAGATCTTGAAAACATTCAAATAAAAAAAAATGCATAGCAAAATATTTGTTCTTATCACATTATTAATTCATTCACAACTACAAACTATGCTATCTTTCCCATAAAATTTCATCAATACTGAAACTAATACCTGTTGTCCTCCTTGTGGACTAACTCTACATTGTAGTCTTCCTGCCCTTCCTCCTGACTTCTAAGCAACTGTTCTGAATGTGTAGTATTCACAAAGTCAGACTCCACTTCAGTGCAGTCTGGATGAAAGCTCACTCCAGTCCCTGATGTTGGTGCATTCACTACAAGGTTGTATTTTAATATGTTAACTATCTTTTGTTTTTTCACACACTCCATGTTAAATATATTAGCTGATGTAACAGCAGTTAGCTGCTATTTATTATTGAAATGGATATAAACTATATGTGTGAACACCAAAGATAATCACACATATTTTAATCTCTAAGAAAATCATTAAGTTCAACAATTTCTTCATATAGTAATTCACCAACAGCCTATTCCATTTATCCATGTAATAACTATTTTAATATTAGCAAACTTGAAATAAAAACTTATTTAGCCTTTATATCCAAACTATAATGGTTAACTGAAGGGAAGACAAACCTGAATTATTTATCTGTTCAATTTTTGTAATAGTTTCTGACAAATGTTTAGAATCTCCTACATCGTCTGGTAAAATTTGGGATGCTGATGCTGAAGTTAATTCTTCAAACTTTTCACCCTTGAAATAAAAAAATAAGAAAAATCGAATTCTAGCTTGGCACTGTAGAAAAATTTAGTTTTCCAGAAAACATCATTTTTTACGAAATCATGAGAACAATGTATAATGATTCAAAAGTTTACTGAAAAAAGAAGAGCATGATGATTTATATTTACTGATACATTTTGTAAACCTTATAATCACACTTTATATTAAAGATTGAAGTATCAAATCCCATACTGCTTTTGGAATTATTTCCTCCAATTTCAACCATGCTCAATCTGATGGCCATGAAGAGAGGCATAGCACCCGATGTGCACCACCAACTTTAATAAACTGTGCCATGTACTACCAATTCTTTTTTTGCCTGTTTTATTGCTTCAGTGCTGGTTAGAATGTATATATATATATATTCTCCCAGTTCAGCCATTGCAATTATTAAAGTTTTATTTATGTCACACTACTAGTCATGTGTGTATTTCCTGGCGTTATCACTGACTGAGATAGTAGTCTATTCTGTCTACAAGTTTGGCCAATGGACTTCTTTTCACTCCTAAACCTTCTCAAGGTAATACTGGTACCTCTTGATTCTCCATCTCCCTACAGAGACAACTGATATGTACAAACTTTTTATGGAATTTGATTGGTATACAAGTGCGGCAATCACAGCTAGTGTCTTAAGCATAAGCAAATTATTGCCAAAACCATGGTAGTAATAAATATTTGTGAAATGTACTATTGTCTATGTTTTCCTCAATTCTACATGTAAATTTGTTTGGTTTGCTCTTTTATCTAAGAGGTTTTGTTTTGATCTTAAATATTTTATGAAACCATGTAGAAGCACATTGCAGAAAAAATATTAGTTTCATTCCAACATATTTTAAGTCAAGAATAGCTTCAGATTTCATTTTAGTGCATCTAAAGCCTTCCAGCATCCATGAAATGATTCTTTTTTTTTCCATCATGGGTATAGCTAATATTCTGGTGCACCACCAACTTATAGAGTTAACCTACACCCCTAGCCCTGATTTGGCACTATTTCCCAGCAAAGTAATTTCCAATGTTATAAGCTTTCATAAAGAATGAAAGAATAGCAAGGTCTCTCTTAAAATATAATAACTTTCTAAAGACTGTATGTCGGCATCAGCTTCCAAAACCAATTTAAGCAGACCAAGGGCACAAAATTCTATTAGAATTATATAGATTGATTAACAAGTATGTGGTAGAATGAAATTGCTGTGATTACAGTTTCATTTCTCATCTTTCTCATGAAAACAGTTATTGATTTTTAGGTGTGGTTACTTGTGAGTTTCAGTCAACTTTAACCCATTTACTGTGGCTGCTCTAAATACACTCAGAATTTGTGTTAGCTGCACACCATAAAAGGCACACTCACTTTCAATTGCCAGAGGGGACCATACCCTATACAATGAATCAGCAGTCGATGGGTTAAATACTTGATTATCATCTTCTTAATGATATAACGAGATAAGCCCAGCCTCATTACAATAAATATTTGGATCAGAAGGTTCACTTGCATATAACTTTAACTTTACAGATGAGGGTATTGATTTAGATTGGGGTGTAGTTTCAGAGACTCAGTATTCTTATGTGTGCTTTGTTATATCTGTCTTTCTAATTTCACAAAGAGAACATTGAAATCATCCTTCTTTGAAATGCAATATCTCTTAGCTCATCATCAGTTGGGCAGGAATGTCATTATTAGTAGCGACATGTCCAAGGTAACAACACTACATTTCAAATTTAATAACATTTTCAGCAATGCTGTTAAATTTATAGTCAAAACAGCATGTTATTCGTTACTTTTTAAATTCAATAATATTATAGCCTACTAATATACTTAAAAATGTAAAATAATTAATAACAATTAGTAGTTAAAATTATCTGGTTAAAACAATAACAATAATTAATACACTAATAAAAATAACCCTAAATATAATAAATAATACACTTGTTAAATAGCAGTAATATTGGAACAATAGTAGAGGAGATAAGTATTGCACATGTATTCCTGCTGAAACATGTTTTGTCCCGTAGAAGCATCTTTTAGTTGAGTTATGAATTTTAAGACTTGTAGTGAGGGCCATCACACTAACCAGGGATGCATTTGGTATTTTCTGTCAGTTGTCTGTAAGCTATTAGAATGGGAGGTTATGTGTAGCACTATGGTATACGAAAGTGGCAGAAATTCGAGCAAAATTCCATGTAATCCATGCCATATCTTGATAAATACTTTAAGTTTACTGGAAGAACTTATCATTGCTATGCTTGCTTTGCTTCCCTTTGAAGAAAATATTCAGTGTGAACAGTAGATCTGCAAGCAACTTAAAAAATGTGCCCATAAAATATTTCTCAGTTAATAAGGAATTTGAGTCCACAGTGAAACAAGATGTGGTATACAAGACAAACGAAGGTAATGACAATATGGCTAAAAAGCCTGCAACTGATCATCAAGAGAAAAAACAACAGCTTCTAATGTTTGGGTAAAGCTCTTGAGTGTCTCAACAAAAGCTGAATGGGCTAATATTGGACTTCATGATTTCAGAGTTTTTGTCATTTGGAGTTGTTGAGTCCACATCCTTTAGAAATTTAGTCACATCACTACAGCCAATAAGAATAGTCATTTCTCGAAGAACATTAGTGAGGCAAGTGAACAATGCCTACATGGAAAAATTAACCTTCTCAAGTTCAGATAGCAGTAGTCAAGACTATTGCTACAACTGCTGGAGTTGCAGAAATAGAAAATTAAATAATCTCTAATTTTTTAGTTTCTTATATTCTCACATTCCTAACTTAGGAACATTGATATTGAATTAGATTTCATCATATTTACTATAAATATTGGAGTTAACTTGTTTTATTATTAAAAGTATGTTTGGAAACTGACTACTACTATTTATGAGTCACCGTGCACTGGATAAACAAGGATATGTTTGAATGTAAGCATGCAGTTATTGCCTGCTGTTGTATGAAAGGATGTCATATCTATTATCTCACTGGAAAAGTACTAAAAGTAGTACATGTTGAATACTGCATCCAGAACAAAATTGTCAAGACTACTATAGATAACAGCAGCAACTTCGTGAATGTTTTAAGGTGAGTAATATCCCTCAGTCAGGTAAGCTGCTACTGAGTTTTCCACAGCCAGCCCACTGGCTCTGCAGAATTACTCCCACTTGTGACATCATGCATGCATTGGCCAAATAGAGAGAAGCTTTAAAATATCATGATAAAAATATATAATGAGAGAGACAGAACAATTTGAATTATACAAACATTGGGCAGACCTTTTCAGTTTCTTTCTTTTTTCTACTATTTGTAACCAAAATAAATCTTGCAATAATGGGCACCTTGATATTTTGGATTAAGGACAGTGTCTCTAGTCTCATTCTCTATATGGGCACTCAATAAAGAAGGCAGTTATCTTTGTATGCCTGTATGGCATACCGCTAAATTCCAAACATCCCAGAAGGATTTATTGGATCAGCTCCAAAATATATACTGTAATAAATGTTTTCATAGATTGAAAGTGTAATCTTATTACTCTGGGGAATTCTCATTATAAACATTATCGGATACATAAGCTGATAAATTCCACATCGTGTTAACAGAGAAGGGGTCATGTTGGCTTATTTCTGTGTACTTGCTTTGTTGCTCTCAAGAGTATCATATTATGGTGTCACATAAACAGTCTAATGACACAAGTGATAATTTGTTATATTTTCAGCAGATTTCTACTTCAGTTGTTGACAGTAAAACAAACACAGAAAATAAATGTGAAATATTTAGCAGCTGAAACTCTGAAGAAAAGTCCTTTGAAACTTTGTGACCATTAATAAAGAAAAAAGGGCACAGCTAATCCAGCTCCTTAGACCTCCTGTTGACAATGCTCCATGTCATAGCAACGTGCAACTCATGAACACCTGTGTCCTGCATAAACCAAACAAAATGGGGGGCTTTAAAATTCAGAAATTTAGTATGGTCAATATGGAATCCAGCTTTGCATGGCTCATTTTTGATACTGAGGTTACCCTGCTACAGAGTGAATTTGGACATGGTTGGAAGGGTGCCCTTAATGTTGAGGTTCTAGTATACCTGTATAATAGATATAAATTACAGCCCACATTCATATAATTATCCCTTTCATGCCTAGGAGTCTTTCAATAAAATAATCTAGTATTAGCCAGAATAAAATGTAAAATGGACAATTCATTGTTGTGGAAAGGTTAATTTTATATATATATAAAAAAAATAGCTTTCAAACTATTGATTACATTAATTGTTAATAGGCAATTAAATCAGCACTATAAAACAATAATGAATTAAATATCACATTATCATTATTGGTCCAGGCTGTCAACTTATTGTTATAGTGGATAATGTCTTTGTATTTGGGTGTTATTGCCACAGACCTTATCTGCTATGACAATAAGCTGACAACTTGAACCAACAACAGTAATGTGTTTGTTGTATATATATATATATACAACAAATGCATCCAAATAAGAGTAATATAATATTACTTCTATTACCCCTTGCAAGTTTAAATAATAGTGGTAACTTCTATTACAGTGATAGTGGTGATGATGCAGTCATAGATGATGATGATGAATCAAATGAAGACACTGTAGAAATTCATTCTCTAGCTGATATATTAGCTATTGATGATCAGGTATCATCTCATTCATGTATATGCATTTTGCTAGACCACCAAAGATGTGCCTCTCATACACTGAATCTCATTGTTACCACTGATGTCGATAAAGCTTTAAATAACACTTGTATAATAAAAGTGTCTTGATCAACAATAGCAAAAGCTCAAACCTTATGTAATAAACAGAGTGGAAGCACTATAGCTGCTGGCACAATTGAGTAAGAAATAGGGGGATGCTTGGTTCTTTCTTGCCCAACTCATCGGAATTCAATGTTTGATGTCTTAAGTTGCGTAGATAGGTTAATATATGGAAGTTAATCAAATGACCAAGCACTAGACCAAGTTT